CAGCTAGTTGCCAATAAAATAGGGATAAACTCCCTTTAGTTTATGATTCTTGGAATAATAAACGGTATATATACGACGGAAACTGATAACCTCTGCCGGTAGTAGTGACCTGTTCGTGGCGATTAATATAATATTTTTGCTATAATTCCCTTATTAAATACTATATTATATTATTTATTGCGTATTATTAAATAAATTTGCTTACAACAAATAATTTCGTTAATAATGTTACGAATACGTTATAGGTAGTGTTGTTAGATAAAATAATAGCGGTCACATATATTTTATAAACAATATTTTGTACTATAAATATAGTATAGTATTCAACGTTTTTATGGAATTAATTTTTAAATACTTGAACACTTTGTAGTATTTCTACATTATAAAAAAAAACCAATGATTAGAATGTAGTCACTTGTTCGGTGATAGAGATGCAAAACGATAATCGTGTGGTTGTGATTAGTGACAGGTCCGGTCGTAGTAATATGTAGTTTAAAGGTTTTAATAAATAAATAATATGTTTTATTCAGAATTCTACAGGTACTGTGTGTATACTACATGTATACTATTACGTTTTATAGTTAGGCACATATAATATAGTAGTTGAATCAAATTTATCTAACAATCTATAATGGTTCTAAAAATAAGAGGTCATGAATATAGGGATAAAACTTCAAAATTACAAACAACTACATGCGTAGATGCCCTGAAAAAAATGGTTACACAGATTCATATAAAATATATTTTGTTCCTAGTAATATAAGCCTGCATGTAAGATCAATAACAATTAGTCGTATGATAGATAGATATCTTCTTAATCTTTTATTCTGTTACGGAGGTAATATAATAATACACACTTAATACATGAAATAACAATTCTAATTAGGCTACCATTGAATGTTGAATTTTAACAGTTAAATGTATTTAGAACTTCAAAATCTATTTATGAATGTAGAAGAATATGTAAACAGTGCAGTCAAATTATCCTATTGCAACATTGATTTGTTGTCACAACTCTTTAAATGATATTTATATTTTAATTCAAATTTCCAGTTAATCTATTAATATAGTGAAATATTTAAACACAAATGTAATTATTATAATTTCAAAAGCCGCTTTACACGAATAGTGTAATAATTGGATAATTTCAGGTGCTTGAAGTATCGATGAAATTGTATTGTATATCTCATTAATACTATGCGTTCAACGCGTCAGATCCGCGGTTATGAATATTATAAATGCAAAATGAATTTGAATATAATAATATTATATACGCGAAACTTTGTAAGTATGGATGTTTGTTATTCATTCACGCAAAAACTACTGAACAGATTTTGGTGTAACTTTACAGCAATACAGCTTACATCAGCATAACACATAGGCTATAAATTACATGCGTGTCAAACCGCGGGCATAGTTAGCTACTTATATGTGCCACGTGATATTTTTATTTTCCTTCATTATTATTATTAAAAATAAATAACTAGCGTTTCGTAATCAATGAAAAGATTCTTATGTAACAATTCTGAACATTACGTTGTTACATATATAATCTTTAACCTAAAGACCGCAGACTTGTCTTATCACTTAATCTAGATGGAACTGTTACTAAAATAGATGTTTGTTAGTATATATTTTCGAAATATGTTATATTTTGCGAATGTTTATTTCGTAATAATAAAGTCTAATTACTTAACAATAATAATAACCAGGACTATTCACAGAGCGTCATTTAGTCCCAAGCTAAGCAGAGCTTGTGTTATGGATAGTTTTTGTAAATACATAATATAGATATAACACACCCAGACAGATACAAACAATTTTTCTCATGAATACAGAATTTTGGCACCGTGTGAGGATTTGAACTCACAAACATCGGAAGTAAAGTTATGCCCTAAACTGCTAGACTACGAGGCCGTCTGAAAGGATTTATATTATGGCAACTCACTGCCGTAATCTGTTTGCGAACAGCTAAGCTTCCAAGCTATATCGATATATAGACTTAAAACACGTGTCTCATTAAGGGTGTAGATTCAAAAACGGTCACAATTTCATCACTAATAGAGAATAAGTGGTGGTCAGATTTCCGCAATGAATACTTGTGGTCTCACACATGCTAATGGTATAGGAATTAAACAAAATAATATCCAATAAATCCATTAAGTAATTTATTTCTATAATTAATAAATAGTTTCTAAATAGCAACTATTTATACATATTTGACGGAACGGTGGTCTAGCGGTTTAGCACACTGTCTTACTTCCGATGGTAGCGGGTTCGATTCCTCGCAAGGCACAAACATTTGTATCCATGAGTATGATTGTTTGTATCGGTCTGATGGTTTTCTATGTATAATATGTATGTATTTACGAAAAGTAATAGTAATGTAATATTAAAATAAGTAAATTATGTTAACAAACTGATTTTAATAACAGTGCGACATTTTTTTCCGGTCATTATTTACTGAATATAGTAATTCTAATGCAACTGATATCTAATTTTAGCAGCGGTAAAGTTGTTTAGTAGAGTTAAAATAATATAAACGGCAATTTTTTAAGTGAGAATCGTGTAAAATTTATCATAGTAATTGTGATCTTTGACTTACTCATTGAATGAGGTATATTAACATAATAGTGCTATATCTAACATAATTAGTACAACACCAACGTTCTCAAATGACTGAGTGTTACAGGGAGCTCTGCTAGAAATAAAATTTTATTAAAATTATATCACAGTTGGTACATAATTTGGTAGTCTGGTTTGTTACCTATGTCATATATATTTATTAGTGGTTAACCGACTTGGATTGTAATGACTTGGTGACAATTCAGTTTAAGGGTGAGAGAATACAGTATAGGATAAGAGGTATGACATCTTATAGTTCCTTAATTGAAATATCTGAATGGTGTCATGAGCATTACATGATCCATGATCACCATTATTATATTATTGTACCTACCTATATAGGCGAGGGTCATTATTTACCACTAGGTGGAAGATCTCAGCTTGTTTGCCATTTTAGTTATATTAAAAAACTGTTTGCAGTGTTAAAAATATTTGTGTAAACAATATTTTGAAGTTCTTGTATTAGCTGTTTAATATGATGTGATGTATTATACACATTATGCACACTAAATACATCTCAAAGCCAATTAAAATGAATTTAACTAATGGTGAGTAGATGAATATTATATTAGTAATAGACTAGCTAGTAAATTTAACTTGCAGAAATTAAACGTCCATTTGTAAATCAACTGAGTTCATTTATTATTTAGACTCCATTTACAATATTATTTCATTAAATAATTTAGTCGAAATTAACGATCTTTATAGCGTAAAAAGAATTGTTATTGCATTATTTTCACTTACCAATACGTAGATACACACCTATAGCAAATAAACATAATTTTACTATACTTTTTAAACTCAGTAAAGTATGTATTTGTAATGGTTACCGCAATTTTAAAAATACTAGTAATAATTATTTTTAAGTTATTACAAGGGATTGTGTAAATTCTATCTATCTAATACAATTAATTAATTAATTATATAAGTTCGTAAAGTCATTGTTGTTATATGTAAGTACTTACTACCTATTTAAGTAATAATATGCAATACGTAAGCGTAAATATTATACGTAGGAATTATTTTGCCGTCGGAAAACGGTAACAACACTATGAACCGAATAAGTTAAATTAATATTTTGAGGGTATATAAATTGAGAAAAAATCTATATTTTGCAATGAATACTTTATATTACACATAATAATTTGGTAAATATTAGATCATTTCAGTATTTACACTGCAGTGGATCGAAATAAATTTGTATTATTTTAATGTCTGGCGTTTTCAGTTATTACTAAATTTGTTTATACAATTTCAATTTAGTTGAACTAAATTAAGCACAATTAATATCAAACAACCAATTGTAAAGCTGTACATTATTTTTTAAAGCGTACATTCCATAAAAATATCTTAATTCACTGTAAGATATATAGTCCTTGAAATATTTACGTATAAAGTTATGCTCTGCCCAGTAGATTTTAAATATTAGTGGGTTATTTTAATGGCAATTATGCCTATTCAGAAGTAAACATGTCGATTAAAGTAAGATTCAAGAAAGTACTCAAGTTCAGTAATAGTATAGAAATATGTAGAAGTATATTCTTTATATGATATATGAAATGTGATAACCTTCGTTAATAGATGTGAATGTTGTCACCATATTGTACTGTTTTATTTCATATCACGTGTAATTACTAAGGAATGAGGTGTTGTAACTTTATACCCAGCAATTTCACTATCATAATTGTAGTGTCTCTCTCCCCAAGCCGGGACGAAACATGCAAGTTTCTTAGCGGTAGGAATACGTGTAACTGAAAGTTCCTCTATTTGCTCAATTACGGAACAGTATTTAAAGTAACAGAATTCTGTATAACTCTGCATCTGTAGTAAACATTAGTAATATATATTTGAATATGTTCTGTATAAGAAACAACACGAATATCATCATAACATATCACATCATTAATTTCATGATTAGTAGATTATTGTATGTGATCTTCATAGTATTACATAATTAATTGTTACTCGCGCCTTCCTCTGCAACTTCCGTCTTCTATTTCAACACTTATTAGTTTTTTTTTAATAAATGTGTCAATCTGTCTCCGCAAAAAAATTCAAATGAAATTTTGTATGCTCTGTTTTGTATGTAAAGTTAACATACAGACATGACAGATAATATAGACTACTATTTAAAGTCATTTACTTATTGTATAACACAACAATCTCGGTTTGAAAATGATTTTGGTATAAAGTAAAGACTTATATGAAAAAGTGTATTATCGGTAACTTTGAAAATTCTACTTAAACGCAAACTCATTTCGGTAGCTTTCAATGTGTCTTATATTACCTCCTAAGATTCGAGATATGCAAAGAACTCCGTAGAACTTTTGTAGAACAGTAACCTCCAAATACTGACGCACCCTTTCCATTTTCAGCAACAGAGTGAGAGGTATCTAACGTCCGCATACGAGGGGGGCGGGGAGTTGTCCCCAGTGGCCCCGGCGACATCACCCGGTTCCCCCCGCGATTGCACTTCGTGCCGAAAAAGGGAACCCCCGGACGACCCCCCTCAAGTTCCCGCCGAAGAAGCCTGCGCCGGTTGTGGGACCAGAATCACCGACCGTTACTATTTGCTGGCATTAGAGAGGCGTTGGCACACCCCATGTCTAAGGTGCTGCGAGTGTAAAATGCCCTTGGACTCAGAACAGAGGTGTTATGCCCGAGACAGCAATATATTCTGCAAGAATGACTATTTCAGGTAAGTTATTGTCTTTATAACACAATGTTGATTGTATTAAGAAGGTACATTCAATTTTGCCTTTATTCAGTCATTTAAAGAGACAGCTTGATCAAAAGTAGTATGTGTAATAGTTAAGCCCATATATATTTGCAAGTAGATTCAATGTAAGAGTAAGTATACTGCAGTATAGCTTAGATCTAGTACTAACATTCTTGATATTTATTTCAAGCCTAGTCATTATTATAAAGTCTAGAGACATTTTTGACAGACACAAATTTGTGCAAAAGATGTTGTATAATTAGAGGAGATCTAATTTTTTTATAGCAGTTATGTTGCTCATTTTATCAGATAACAGTCGAAATTCCAAAGTATTTAACATGCATCAGTTTTTTGTACCTCTTTGCATTAGCGTACCGCAACCGATTAAGATTTTTATATATTTTATATGTTTAGTGAGATACATTTTGTACCTACTCATAATAAATGTAGACAATTTAAAAGTTCTAGTACTAATACAATACACATTATATTACCAGCAACATGACGCCTAAAATTACAGTCTAAGTGATATTTATAGAAATAAACAATTTTAAGCTTTAAAGTCCATAGTAAACAGGAGGTCGGTATAGTATGTATTAGGTATGAGAACAGCATTTATAAAACGATTGCACTTAATCGTTTTACTCGAATAAAGACACCAGCAGTGCGATCATTAAAATATCGATATTAAAATAGTAACGTTCACAGCCCGCCAATAACGTGAATCCACAATTTTTACAGCGTAATTGCAGATATAACTGCGGAGCTTTATACCTCGGGGTCGTGTTTAATTACTTTTGCACCTATTTTATCTGTTGTCATCGTGTGCTTACGGATGTTTTACGATTTTATCAAACGTCTTATGTATTGTACATAGGTTATATTTATATCGATTTAAATATTCTTAAGTAATGCATAAGAAGGTGTCATATGATGCATGATAATTATTTTCATTAGGAAATTAAGATGTAGAAACTTGTCTAAGGTCCTCTACTTTATGTTGCTATCTGTGCTTTGAGGCAGAAACAATATTGATTTTAGGATAAATAATTGACTCAGTATAAATCTATATCTACGTCTGTGTTCATATATATAGGTAGATATATGGTATATAATGCTTTTTTTAATTGTCGTAAGTAAAACGAGGGGCCATAAGAATTTTACAAAGGCTAAGGTGGCGACTACAAAGGTTAGGAAACATTTTTCTAAATCGTCATTAAGTGAGGTTAGTGTTTAGTCGAAATTATGATTAGGTATATTTAGTGAGGGCAGCGTGGTGGGTGCCGATGGGAAACACGTCCCGCGGTGAGCAGGCAGGTGCCGCGGATCTATTTGTAAGGGACCGCTTCTGTCTCCAGTTTACCTCACCGTCGGAGGCCCTTTTACGTCTTCTTTTATTAAAATGCGTGTAATTACGTTATTAATTCCTATTATAAATTGTTATAGCAGTAAATTTATTTATATATTTCATGTAGGTACAATAAAATATTTGTTTGTTTGTTTAGTAGCATTTTAAGTGCCGCCATTCCGTCCATCATATTAAGAAAGAACTTTGTCAAGTTAAAACACACGTACACACGCCACCCTACTCATTATTCTATTTCTTTTGTTTTTCTAGCATTAGGTAGTTTGGTTTAGTAAATTGTTTATACATTTAGATCTATGTATTTTGTACACTTAAAAGTTTTGGATAATTCGCAGTCTGGTCCTACAGGACATACTCATCCTAGTGAAGAAATTAATGATAAGTGAAACAATTTTGTTATGGAAATAAATTATTATTAAATAAGAGCATTTACGCGAATGATATATTTAGTCTATCAGATGAAGTTTGAATTAATATAATAATATTAACGAGATAGTATAATAATAATAATAATTCATCCTACCTAACTTAACATTCGGCATTCTAAACAATTTCTCTTGGACATTTTGAATACAGCTTCTGTTAGGACGTGCACGAAAGTGAGATAACGAGTTGGCTGCACTCCCGGTGCAGGCATAGAAAACAGGTAGTGGCAAGTCTATACAAAACTAAAGTTTGGATAATATATATTCATAACTAGCTACTCGCCTCGGCTTCGCACGGATATATATAATACATGTAGTATTATATATATAAACCTTCCTCTAGAATCACATTAACTATTAAAAAAAACTGCTTCAAAATTCGTTGCGTAATTTTAAAGATTTAAGCATACATAGGGACAGACAGCGACTTTATTTTATACTATGTGTAATAATGATACTTTGACGGTGATTTTGGCCTTCCTTGAGAACTATTTCGAGACAAAAATAAGTAGAATTATAGACTGTAAAAATAAAGTTAAGTCTGCCGAAACTTCACGTATTGTGAAAAGTTATACAAAATAAAATATGTAGGTAGAAAAACTGTACGTCAAAAGTTTTGTATTCCGCGCACCAAATTGAAAGTTTATTTCCAATAAAATATTTAAGAAGCTATCTGATCTACTTATTTAATTATTTTTAGGGTCTTCCAATTCAAACACATGTTACGTGTTCAATTCTAAGTGCCTTAAATTTGTATTTCAGAAATTGTTCTTTCATTATTTTCATACTAGAACATTTTCTAATCATTGTCCTTATTTCTAAAGAAGCATTTTATTTTTTCCTACTGGGCAATTAGGAATCAACAATCTTGTATTGTGTATTGGTTTTCTGTAAGGCCACTCAAGTAGCTAAGGCTATTGAGCAGAAACGCTTGTTATTGCTGGAATATTAGAATAAAATGTTGTTATTACAATTATTTAGGTTAACAGCAATTTAAGAATATTTTATAAAGAAATTGTTCTGTTGAGAGTGTTTATTGATATGCTAGAGAACCTAATGTACTTCATAAAATGTGTAGACAAATGACTCAAGCTGCTAGTTTATGTAAACAAAAAGAAGTTATTGAAATTTAGCGTCAGTGCAGTAAATATAGTATTAATTTACTTCTATTAACATGTCAATAGTGATAATAATAATAATAATCTCAGGACAATTCACACAGCGCCATTTAGACTCAAGTTAAGTTATATAGAGCTTATGTTATGGGCACTAGACAACTGATACAAATACATAGATTTTTTTTTGTAAATACAATAACACTTAAATGTATATTTTTGTAAATAAATAATATACAAAAAGAACCCAGACTAATAGAACTAATATTTGCATTGTGCGATGTATCGAACCCTCTACCATCGGAAGTAAGGCGGTGTGATTAACCGCTAGACCGAAGCCGTAATGAAAGAAGTGGTTTATAATAACTATAGGGAATCTTTCTAATAATATAAAGGCGAAATATTGTGAGTACATATAAATGGATGGGTGGATGTTTTTGTTACTGTTTCACGCAAAATCTACTACACGGTTTTGATGAAACATTACAGTAATATAGCTTATACATCAGTGTAACGCATAGGCTATAAATATCATACGGGTGAAACCACGGACACAACTAGTCTTTAATATACAAAACTACCGGTGCACCTTATTTTAGGTCTAACATGATTGTAGCAAGTGAACACAATATCATACGTTGTCGCCTGCCAAAAATCGGTGCAATAATATCCTAAGAAGCGCGTATAGCAACTCAACTAGAACAATAGACTTTCTTTCTGTTAACATGATTCAGAGTGCAGTCTACCATACTATTGCATAATATGACATCTAAAATAGTAATAGTGGCCTGTCGGATTACATAGTTTACACAGTACAAGGAATAAATTATTTTTAAGCCTGTTGATTCAAGTTGATGCTTGACAAAGTGTTGACCGATTACCCACTGTTCGTGCAGGGCTGCTCCCTAAAGTTATTTTAGGGTTGTCAACTATAGAAGGATCATTATACGAAATATGGAGAATATCATCATACGACGAACGGATGTTTCAAATATTTTTTTACGACAACCAACATTTCGTACTACAGCATGATTGCAACATCAATATTTAAGTCATTAAGTAAAAAGTGGTACTTACGTAGGCACCAACCTTAGCTGTATTGGTAATTGTCTTACTCCCCGTCGTGAAAATATGTCGATGCAGTTGAAGATTAAATATGTAAGATTTTTGAGGTCCTTTGTAAGTGCGAGGCGAAATATTTTAAGGTTGGCAACCCTGAGTTCACTAAGGAAGCCGGTCAGTCAGTTGTGTCCAATCTCCACTAAACAAACGGATTATCATACGAATGGCTAATTACCACGATTATTAAACTCGCCTCGTAAATATGTGGAGTTGACTTCGGGACACTGTTCTCTAACGATTTTTTTTATCGCGGCTGCATTTATAACTTTAATAACGATTATCCCTGTTGATTTTGAATATTATTTTAATAGTTTCTTTACTTATGTCGTTAGTGTAATTTCGTGCAAATAAGAGAAAATACGTTAAAATATAACATCGTTTATACCAAATACGTTATTATTAACCTGTGTCTTGAATTTTAATTTAAAAACATAAGATTATATTTCTTTGATTAAAATTAATAAATGCAAAGACAGTAGTTAACATGTTGCCTTACTTAAATGAGGTTTTTGTTCTAAGTCCAATATATTTTCGACGTAATCGTTTACAAATTTAAAAAAGTAAATCAAATACAGATTGATAACAGTAGATCATTGTGTGATGGTGCCATTTGAGTATAACTTTCTCCGGCCCGCCTTATTTTGAAATAGAACGGATTTCGCGGTTCTACGACATTCATTAATATTAAATAATAATATTGTAGTATTTTAATATATTGTAGGTACGTTATAAATTGTAAACAGTAATAAATTAGGTATTTTTCCTTGTATAAAAGTAACTGTGTTACAAACGTCAACACAAGTATATTATTAGATTTACCTGCATACTTATGCATACGTCACCTGTAGCTAGGTAACGCCACAAAAGGTCGAGTTGAAGCGGGGGTGGCAGTTACGCATTACCATACTATTGACTTGTCGAGAATAAAGCTACATTCACATAGTATTCGAT